CTTCCACCTACGCGTTGGTGAATCGACCATTTCGTCGACTGCAATACTGCATACACGATACACGTAAAAATACTTATAAAACCTCATCAGAAACTGTCATATTATATTATTATGCAGTTGTTCGGTATATTAACCGTTATTACTTTCAGGTGGTTTTTACACATCGACACTGGGTCAAGTGAAAAACTTCAACAACTCAAAAATCGGTTTATTGGGTACGTATAATGTGCCTTCCGTATAACGATCGCAATCGTTCCATTCGCCGCCGTAACGATTAACCGTTTACTACTACCTAGGACGCGTCGTCTTCCGTCGTGCAGACGTTATCGGCACTTGGCCGCCCGTCACTTGTTCGTCGGCGATACCGCATAGGAAATACCTGGTACCGAAGATTTCCACCTACGCGTTGGTGAACCGACCATTTCGTCGACTGCAATACTTGCATACACGATACACGTAAAAATTCTTATAAATCGTCATCAGAAACTGTCATATTATGTTATTATATGCAGTTGTTCGGTATATTAACCGTTATTACTTTCAGGTGGTGTTTACACGTCGGCACTGGGTCAAGTGAAAAACTTCAACATCTCAAAAATCGGTTTATTGGGTACGTATAATGTGCCTTCCGTATAACTGTTTCTCTTTGCAACATAATGCAAATCATAATATTGAAAAATATGCTCTCTTGTAGTCAATACCCCAGTAGCCATACGTGTTTGGTGCCACTGATGCTAGCCATAGGCTAACGTATCCAATGATTTACCATTGAATTCAAATATAACACATCCGCATTACAATGACATACTCGACAACTACTGTACAGCAGAGCGGTACCCGCTTGACCAACTTTTAGTTTTGTATATATTTAATATCTTCATGATTTTATGGGAATTTTCAATTTGACGTTTTGTGATAGTTTTGATGAGTTTATGTCCCGGTTTATGTTTTATATTATAACTCTCCACTACTGTTATAGTTTATGGGATAACTGATATTAAAGGTTATACTAATAACATTATTATATAAATGGCAATTCATGTGTATTATGTCTTAAAATACTGATCTATCGGGATAGTAGGTATTATAGGTACTATAAGAAATAACAAATACTTTCGTTTAGAACAATTTATTACTTTCAATAACTTCGATACACATAGGTACATAATAATTCAGTAAGTACGGAACAACGTGCGTCCCACGTACGTACAAAACAACAACAACGAATATTAATCATAACCTCTAACATGAGTGGAAAAGTAGTAATAATAATAATAATGATAAAAGTAATAGTAATAATAATAGTGATAATGTCACAGCTCGGCCATCCTGACCTATCCCAGTCTCTGGGATCATTACACAATATCTTTAACTTAACATCATAATTTCTAATAACATCTGAACAATATTATAACAATACATAATAGGATATTACATTCATAATAGTATACATAAAATAATAATTAACCACAGACAAATAAATAGTAAGTAAACAGTACATTTTAATATAAACATCAATAAATAATAACATAACCATAATACATGAAATATAATAAAGGATCATTTTTCCAAGCTCCTAACCCAATGTCTCATGTTATCTGAGCTAATGACTCCTTCATAAGGCACCTGAGTGTGCTGAAAACCTTCAACATCTTTGACTATAAATCGATCGTTTAGTAACACTTTGTCTATTATATATGGGCCCTTAAATTTAGGTATTAATTTTTTATTCACCCCCACACTAACATCTGTATTTTTAATTACAACAAAATCTCCTTTTTTATATAAGGTAGGTTTCTTATGTTTCTCATCATAATATTTTTTATTATATGATTGATTTTTTACTATCTTGTCCTTAGCCTCTTTTCTTATTTCCTCCAAGTTCCTGTCCTTCTCCACTTCCACCAATAACCTCCTAAACTCACCTTCCACCGTACCATGTTGATATACACCAAATAATAACTTAGATGGGGCTTCACCCGTCGAAGCACATAACATATTGTTCAATGCGTACTCGACCTCATGCAATACCCTGTCCCACCTATTTAAATCTACTGTCTTTTTTGCCAGCATTGCTGTTATGCAACGGTTTACTCTCTCAACCTGACCATTTGCCCGGGGTGTCGCCGTTGCCACTAATACCAAATCTACTTTTTTCTGGGCTAAGAATTCTCCAAATGCATTAGACGTGAACGTTGAACCTCTGTCAGATATTACCCTTCTAGGTATACTATAACACCTGAAGTAATCATTCATATGCCTAATTACCTCTACCGTGTTAGTTGTTTTACAAGGATATAACCTAACAAATTTGGTAAATGCATCAATGATTACAAACAAATATTTATTTTTTTTACCAGTCTTCTCCAGTGGACCGTAGTGGTCGATATGGATTGTATCGAACGGTATTGGAGTCTTAGGTATAGGGTGCAACTCACCTTCCTTTTTACCATATACTGGCGAATATGAGATACATTTTAAGCAATTTGAAATAAAACTTTTGACTTTTTCTCTCAAATTGGGAAACCAAAATGTTCTCAACACTACTTCACTGGTTTTTTCTACACCCAAATGCCCATATTCCTCATGCACCGACCTTATCACATTATCCTCCATGCTACTAGGGACGTAAAACAACAACTCACTTTTATACTTCCTATATACTAAACCATTTCTCATTTCAAAGTACTTATCCTCACATTTCTTCAACCGCTCTTTTAACTTGTTAATATCTTTATCTTCAATCTGTTTAATCGACAACGTTTGCTCAAAAGTATTTTCATACAACATTAATATATTGGTATTCCGACTTAATGCGTCAACGTGTTTCATTTTACTTCCTGCACGATGTTCAATACTGAAATCATAATTCTGAAATAATAACGCCCATCTTGCAATCCGAGGGTTCATATCTTTCTTGTTCATAGTCAACTTGAAACTTTCACAATCAGTGAACACTTTATAAATAAATACCATTGAGATGAACATGAAAACGCTTCACTGCATACACTAATGCCAAACACTCCAATTCATAACTATGATATTTAGTTTCTACCTCAGTGGTTCTGTTACTATAGTAAAACACAGGATGCATTAAACCGTCTTTCTGTTTCTGTAATAGGATCACTCCATAACCCAATGCACTAGCATCACAATGCACCTCGGTTTCAGCTGACGGAGAATATAATGCCAAAATCGGCATTTGCACCAACTTATTCTTTAACAACTCAAAGGCCTGTGACTCCTTCTCCCCAAACTTAAATTGAGCCCCCTTCCTTAACAGCGCATACAGTGGTGCTGCCAAAATGGAAAAGTTTTCAATAAATCTCCTAAAATAACTGACTAGTCCTACAAAGCTGTGTACATTGGCTATTGATTTAGGTATTGGGAATTGTGTCACTGCTGCTACATTAGCCGGATCAGGTCTCACTCCATCCTTATCCACCACATAACCCAAATATGTAATCCTCGACTGTAGAAAAAAACATTTATCTTCCCTCAATTCAAGTAAGTTATTATTACATGCTATTAATACCGATTCTATTATTTCCAAATTTTCTGCTATAGTTTCTGTGGCTATCAACAAATCATCTAAATAAACTAATAACTTTCCAGACCTTATTAATTCCCTAAATACTGTTTCAATATATCTCATGAATGCTGAGGGACTATTGCAATACCCAAAAGGCAATCGGACATAATCATATTGCCCCAGAAATGTTGAAAAAGAGAGATATCTGGACGACTGTTCCGATACTTTCACATGGAAATAGGCATTCTTTAGATCTAACTTTGTGAAGAAGATCTTCCCTCTTAAATTATCTAATAGATCATCTATATGTGGAATCGGGTAATTCTCTCAAATCCTCACACATTCGATATGTATTATCTTTCTTTTTGACTAATACTATGGGTGAACAGAATTCAGATTTACTTTCCTTTATAATACCTTTATCTAATAACTCACAAATTATATCCTTCACTGCGTTCCTCTCTACATATGATAGTCGTCGAGGTTGGTAATTAAAAGGAGTGTGGTCTTTCAAACTTATATTAACTTCGTAGTTTATCTCAGGAGACTCTGGCTTTAACCCTTTTGAGTAACAGTTATCATATATTTTTTTTAACTTACATCTATCACTATATGATACCTCACCTATGTTCAACTCCACCTCATCTTCCAACTCATACTCTATTAACCCTAAGTCAACCAAAAAGTCATTACCATTACACTGTTCTTGCTTCGAATTTACCATAATCCTACCATCTTCACCAAACCAAATATTCATCCCCTTAATAAAATCTCTACCCAATAAACATTCGGATAACATAGTCTGATCATCTACCACATAAAATATTTGTTTCTTATTTAAATCATAATCAACTAATAAAACCGTAGCATCAGTGACCGCTTCAATACTCAATTGAGACCCGTTGATACCCGAAATAAAAATATCATTATTAAACGGTTTTCGTTCACTAGTCCGGATAAGATGAGACTTAATCAAAGAAATTGGGCTACCACTATCTACCAATGCATTAACAGTAACAGTCTCCTTACATAATATTATACTTACCCTTACATTATATGCTGGCTCTAACAGTCTGATCTCTCCTGCTGATCCACTATGTTGCCGCTCGTTCTGTCGCCGAGATTCTTCATTTGTGTCATTCCTATTTTTCTGATCACGTTCCGGACACGCTGATCGCTGATGTGCTGTTGAACCGCAACCGTAGCATGCTCCTTTTGGTCTTACTGGACTGGGACAACTTGGCGCAATGTGCGTTCTGGATCCACAGTTGTAACATATCCGGCTTGTTGCTGACTCAACACCCTTCTGACTCCTACTCGAACTTTCCGCTTTGGGCTTAGGACTTTCTCCTCTGGGCCACTGCTTCTCATTTGAATTGGACAAAACTATTTTATTTTGAAATCGAACATTTCTGTGCTCCACTAACCGCATGTAGTCCATAATGTCAAATAGTAACTCATTTTCGTCATTATGAGTACGGCTTAACAAATATTGAAATAATTCTTTCGATTGGATACCGTCTAATAACTGTTCCTTGGTATCAAACAAATCTAATTCCAAATCTCGACAAAGTCGAACCTTTTCGTGGAAGTAGTCTAGAATACTTTCGTTTTTACCTTGTACCCGCGCTGCCAATGCCTTCCATCGACTGCCCGTGTTAACCTTTCTGAAGAACGTTGCTTTAAACTGCTGTTCAAATTCTGCCCATGAATTGAATCTTCGCCCAATATACCATTGGCGGGCTGGACCATCCACGTTTACTTTCGCCGCCTCCAACTTGAGTGCATCCGACCAACGATGTAATGACGCCACTCCACAGAGCGTGCTCAACCAATCCGCCGCTTCATGGGGCTTACACTT